GATACACACTGACACACAGCAGAATAGAGACTGTTCTTCCTAAATAGGGTCACTTGGCAGATATGGATTGACACCTGTCCTAAGGATCCCTGATACACAATGACACAGAGCAGAATAGGGACTGTTCATCCTACATAGGGTCACTTGGCAGATATGGATTGACACCTGTCCTCAGAGACCATGATACACACTGACACAGAGCAGAATAGGGACTGTTCCCCCCTACATCGGGTCACTTGGCAGATATGGATTGACACCTGTCCTCAGAGACCATGATACACACTGACACAGAGCAGAATAGAGACTGTTCCCCCTACATAGGGTCCTTGGCAGATATGGATTGACACCTGTCCTAAGGATCCCTGATACACACTGACACAGAGCAGAATAGGGAATATTCTCTAAATGCCAAATATTGTTATACAGGGAATATTCAGTAGTCAAAGATAAGGGGGAATCTTACTGTCTTCCCCGCCCCCACCCCTGCACACAGTGGATAGCCATAAATCAAATGTGGGACCTACTTTGCGAAGTCCTTTTCCGCTACTACTTCCCCACCCGCGGAGCGTAAGGTTGGTGGGGCCATAAAAATAATGAGGGGTGTCACATATTCATCCGCTATAGAAATGTGGTTAATGACATTTACCGGTCCACACAGGAAAAAGTTGTGCCCAGCAGCAACCTAATCCACAGAAGGGTTAATGCTGAGCAGTAATTGTGCAAAGGAAACCTGGTGTCATGTATTCATCCGCTTTTAGAGAAAAAGTGATTAATGACATACTTACTGTCCACACAGGAAAAGTTAAAGTTTCCAGCAGCAACCTAATCCACAGAAGGGTTAATGCTGAGCAGCAATTATGCAAATGAAACCTGGTAACTGACTTTGGGGTCAAAGGCCGGTTACAGCCTATCAGAACTAAAGGAGGGGTATTTAGGCCCAGTTCTCAGCCTGCTCAGTGCCCCGTCGTGGTTTCCCTTGTGGTTGTCTGAGAGCGCGTTCCTGTTTATAGTTTTCTACCTGGTTTTTGACTTTGGCTTTGTTTATTGACTTTTCTATATTCTGGTATCCTGACTCCTGGCTTTCCTCATCGCTGTGTCCCTTTCTGTGTTCCCTGACCTCGGCTAGTATTTTTGACTATTCTTTGTACGTTAAATCCGGCCATTCTAAGGACCGGTAATACGTTACATATTTGTCATCTGTGCTGTACAGTTCTACGTGCTGGATCAAACAGTAATCCTGACAGGGGGGGACCTACTGTATGATGTTGTATCGATCAGGTAGTGTAAGGGTTACGCCCGTTTCACAGTGACAGACCAAACTCCCCGTTTAACGCACCGCAAACAACTGCAAACAGTCCATTTGCACAACCGCAACCTCCCCATTTGCACAAGGTTGGATACCAAGCTAGCCATGTCCCGTTCCTTGTCCTCACTGATATCATTGAAGGTCTCTTCCTCCACCCAGCCACGTACAACACCAAGGGTCCCCGAAAGGTGACAACAAGCCCCCAGGGACGCCTGCTGTGTTTGGTCTTCCACCTCCTCAAAGCCACCTTCCTCCTCTGACTCCTCTTCTTCAGACTCCTCTATCTGCCTTGCCTCTCTCTGAGTTATTATAAGGTGTGTTAAGTAGTATTATTCTTATCAGTTTAATCCCTGTTATGTGCCTTTTTTTTTTGGTTTGGTTTTCGAAACCACAGTGCAGCACCAGAGGCCCGAAAAATTAGGCATGTACACATGCCTGAAAAATTTGGTATTGTTGCAGCCTCTGCTGTAGCAGCGGCCAGAAGAATTGATGTTTGTTTCCCAGGCAGAAAGTGCCCTAAAACAGTGTTCCCCAACCCCCGGGCTGCGGACCGGTACATGGATCAAACGGTACCGGGCCGCCCGAGGAACATTAATTTCACTGTGGCGGCCGAGGCGCAGAGCATTGCGCCCTCCCGAGCCCGCCCATTGTGTGACAATAGCGAATGAAAATTCCCTATTGTTACACTGATCCTCCTCCTGGGTCCTCCTGCTTCCTGATTGGCTGTAAGGCAAACCCCACGCCATTGGCCGAACTCAATCTGGGCCTTCAGGGGAAAATGACAACTGTTTTCAAGTTGTCAGACAAAGTAGCTGCATTTAAAGCCAAACTGGAGTTGTGGGGACGGCGCGTGAACAGAGGCATTTTGGACATGTTTCAGACATTAGCGGGAATTTTAGGCGAGACTGAGCTTGAACATTCATTCTGCCAGTTGGTGCACGATCACCTGTCTTTGCTTTTAAAAGAGTTTGAGCGCTACTTCCCAACCACAAAAGACCCACGAACTGGTAAGGAATGGATCCGCGACCCATTTGCCAACAAATCAGGCGAATCTAGCATGTCTATGCAAGAAGAAGAACAACTGCTGGAGATTGCAAAGTTTTTTGTTTTTAAATGCACGCTATTGTGACACCAGATATGAGTGGCACTGTGAACTGGCAGAGGTTGGCAGAGTACACGCTGTGGGGCTGACACACCCGCTTTGAGACAACTAACTGCGATTCAATCTATAACAGTGAAAAAAGTTTTTTGTTTTTAAATGCAAGCTATTGTGACACCAGATATGAGTGGCACTGTGAACTGGCAGAGGTTGGCAGAGTACACGCTGTAGGGCTGGCAGACCCGCTTTGAGACAACTAACTGCTATTAAATCTATAACAGTGAAAAAAGTTTTTGGGTTTTTAAATGCAAGCTATTGTGACAACAGTGAGTGAGTGGTGGCACTGGGCAAGTGGGCACAGTATCCACTGTGAGCCTGACACAGAAGCTGGCAGACAACTGCAATTACATTACACAGAAAAAAAAGAAAAAAGCAGACTGATGTTCTAGCCCTAAAAAGGGCTTTTTGGGGTGCTGTCCTTAGAG